CGTGTGATGAAAAGTGGATCCTCTACAAAAGGAGATGTTTATATAGAACAGTGATTGAAAACCGATGAGCCATAGAGGCACTTCCATCTGACCTGAAAGACCACTCACCATACACACTAATCGACTTCGTTAAGAAGCTGGGTTTATTTGGTCGAGGGTGAATGTGAGCCACAATAAACCTCACCGGGTTGCTGTGGAGGGTCGAATAGACCTCTTGCCAACCGACTACCATCTTTCCAAGCATTTCGATAACTTTCTCACGAGTAAAACCTTTGTCAATAAGGACCAGGCAAAAACGGACTTCATCGACTTCATCGAGTCCCAAGCACACAATTTTCATGCTGACAGAATTAATCTATTTGTGGTAGGCTGTCAAAAATGCACTGTTTCAAATGGCGCTTATTTCGAATGAATTGAATAATTATTCACTGAAATAATACAGTTTAAAAAGTAGACTCATAAAATAGGGCAAAACTTTTGAAACATCCTAATATTCAGGTATTATACGCCAAATACATATAAAAATTCGTAGATGAGGTATACCATACCTTTAAAAAATAAAATAACACAAATAAAATCTAACTTAGTACGTATTCCATTTCAAGTTGCCTAGTTAACCTGTTTTACCTACTACTGATAAGTTTCCCATCTAGCCTGTGTGTGTACGAATCAGACTGACGCGATTTAAATATTTTCAAATCTCTACAAGAATCCAAAACTTCGCAGAGATAGGCAAGCTATCTCCGTTTCTTAAACCTCCATTTGAAATTGATGCAGCAGCAAAATGGACAGATGTGGCTGCCAAGTTGTTTAATCTGTCAAGGCCATCACTTCAAATGGAGATAATTGATTTGCAAGAAGATGTGTCTTTGCAAATGTATAGAACGGTATCCACTGAAGAATTTTGGGCCAAACATGTCCAAGAAAAATATGAAAATTGTCAAAGACTAGCTATCAATTTGGCCAGTATATTTGGCTCGAAACATCTTTCTCAAAGATGAATTTTTTTAAAAACAAATATCGTTCGAGATTACCAGACGCCCACCTAGAAGACAAACTTCGTATTTGCTGTTCCTCTCGAGAACCAAATTATAAAAAAACTGGCTCATGACCGTCGGTGTAGTTTCTCACATTAATAATTCATATCATATCATCCATCTATATTAATTGGAAATCAACCTCAAATAACTTAAATCATCATTGTCAGTATGAAAATTAAATCTCAACTGTTCCAGGAAATATTCAAACAGGAACTTCGTGTAATACTTTGTCTGTGAGAAACGTAGCCTACGACATATATTTGTGAGCAAGTGACGTCATGTATCTCGACTGTATTTACATTTTCACTAAAAATTGCGTTTTGCGGCAAAATAATATTTTTGAAAACAGTCAACTTGAAAATTTGATGAACCACATGAAACAGTAAGGTCGGACAAACATTGAATAACAAAATTTTGACTTTTTTGCAAACTATTGCTCTGAAAATTGGATATACAGTAAAAAGGTAGTCACATTGTAATATCTTTCTACATTTTTCATTCTCAATTTCAGTACTTGACATAAAATACCTCATAAAGTAAGATTATTCCCAACACAGATAAGAACGGCCACTAAACCTCAAGACGACGTTCTTTGCCAGGAAGGATATCCTTGTTGATGATTCATCAAAAAACCACAAGCAGTCGGACGTTTAGCGACAAGTTTCCAAGAAAAGAAAATACGTAGTTTGACCAAATCAAATTTCTCATCTGTCTCACTCTCGTATCATAAGATAAGTTGTCCACCTTTTCACTTGTTTCTCTGCTAATTTATTGAAGCTGAATTGTTGAAGAAAACTAGATATCCATGAAGGTATTTTTGTATTGTTTTGAAGCTTTTTGATAAAACTCAATAATATATCAGGCCGCCCTAACGACATTATCTATTAAAATTCACGCTAGGGGTCATGTGACATCTATTCACGTCTATAACTATTTGAAAAAATAAGTTACTGAAAAATGGCATCCGTTTGGAAAAGGATAAAAAACCAGAGCACATACTTTCTGCCTGCCCCGCTGGGAACCGAATCAGGTTTTCAGAGTTCGGCAGAGCCATACTCTTACCATCTGACCTGAAAGACCACTCACCATACAAACTAATCGGCTTCGTTGAGAAGCTGGGTTTATCTGATCAAGTGTGAATAGGTGTGCGCCACAATAAACCCTTGCGGGTTGCGGTGTAGGATCGAATAGACCCACACACTTTGGACCTATCCTAACCCAAGTAAATTGTATATCGTAATCGATGTTAGTTACACTCTGTTTTAATGTGAGCTAACCTAACCTCACGTTACCTACAGAAAAAGAGATACAACAAAGTAGCTACATTTACTTAAAATTATCACTTTCGTAAAAGAAGACTATGTATCGTGATGCACTTAAAACCTAGGTTAAACTAGGTTAAATTCTTAAAGCCAAGTTCAATTCAGTTTACAATGGTGAACCAGGTTTTGTGACTCAAGTTGTAACCAATTTTTTATTAAAATTTCAAAAACTGAAGCTCCTTGAACAGATAATTGAAATAAATCAATGATAATGAGGGGTTAAATTAGAAAAAAATGTTCCTTCTCTGTGCTACCTAAAATGACAATAAATACTATTGACCTCCATACAATATTACTGTTCAGTAAGAAGAAAAAGTCAACTAGGCACAACCCTTTCAAGGGAAACTTCCTTGACACTATAATAATTTTTAGTGAAGGCATTTTGTGGATTACAATATTTGGGATGTGGAACCTTAATTACAAATATTCTTCAGAGAACAATTGAGATCGAAACAGAAAACGACAATCCCCTTACAATCCAGAAAGTGTTGTTTCGACATGCTATAGTTTTCAGCGGACTCTTTTTTGAACTCCATTTCCTGGGTTCTGACTCCATCTAGTTATATTTGCAACTGAACGCTTTGAGGTGACCCATTCATCTTTGAAATTTGTGGATTGAGTATTATGTCGATCCAATAGATGGCGTCTTACTAGGAAATGTTATCACCCTTCTTGAAAATTTTCCCGGAGTTCTCTTATTGAATAGCTTTTTTTTACTAGCCAAATGGTTTTCAAGAAAACAGGTTGGTAATAGTCAAATTTTTAGGACTCTATACATAAATAAATATAAAGTTATGCAAACACAATAACAGGTGATACAGGTGTCGTTTTGCATAAATTTGCTCACAAATTAACTGGCCTTAAAGCTGTATTTGTTTGGTGATATGGTAATGTAAAACAATCCAAGAATAAAACACAAAATACCCTCGAAAGGCTTGGTGAAAGTTTTTTTTTACATTTCAAACGGTTTTCAGTCCTGTCATTTTTGTCCTGTTATAATTTATATAACCAGTGACTTCACATGACAATCTTTTTGGACAATTATATTGAATTTATTTATTCATTAGGGAAAACGTGAATTTCTGTACAAAATTATTTTGTTTGTGTCAAACATAATAATGAATTTACTTGTCAATTCATAGCTCAGAATCATATAAATATTTTTTCTAACTATATAATTCCAGAATGCAATTCTCTAGAATATGATTTAAAAAAAATTATGATTTCCTGTGATATTGGAAACTCATCTCTAAGTAAGGTTATAAAATACACTTTGTTTATTAGTTAGTTAAGTATGCTAATGTGAATAGAAACTTTTTCAACTCAATATTTTCATAAATGCACCTAACTTCAGCAGTCTTCTGGAATGACAATTAATGACAAAAAAAATCATACATTAGATGCATTACACTGATAGTTTTGGGACAATTGCGCTCTTGTTTTACAAAATTTCATAAGTATACTTTGAATTTGCCAGAAAATCATACACATAGTCAATATTTTTATTCAATTTAGTTAACTTTGAGTTAGGATGTTTGCCCATATGGATAGTTTTTCTTTGGACTAAATAAGTAAGTTCACTGCGAAAAATTGCAAGATTTGTATTTTGGCTTTTCCTTTGAGGTTAAGAGGCTTATTTCAAGCTTGAAAATATTGAAAACGTTACGTACTGATACTTGGCTTCTATATTTTTGTATTTATAATAATTTGAACAGTTTAAAGTTTATTTACTATCAGTCTGTGAAGTAGGTCATCTGGATTACAAGAAAATTCTGCAGATATGAGTCACTACACCAACTTCTTAGTCAAACTTAACCTCTCTCCCAAAAGAACCAGGTTACAGTTGTCACATGAATGTCACAAAAGTGACTACTTCTGAAGGTTATTACTCTTCAAGGAATGGAAAGTGAAAACAAGTTCAAAAATTCCTCTATTGAAAAGAGAATCAAAAGTTCTATATTTCCCAATTCTAGTTGCAATATTTGCAACTAGTTTATTAAGGAAGATTTGTAACATCATGTGAATAACTAACAATTTATAAAAACTTCAATGACAGAACCTTATCAAAAATAAAAACAAAATACATTAGTCACTAGGCAGAATCCCATATTGGCTTATCATTCAAAATGGAGATTTTAACCTAATCATGGTAAACATTATACCTCACTTCTTTAGTTGAATGACACCTCAAATGATAAAAATACAGTGAACCAAAAGATTTCAATATAGGAGACATTTCGAAAGAACTGTAGCAGTTCTCATTGATATAAATTAATTTTTCTTTTTTCATGATGAATACAAATTTTTACAATGCAGACCTCGAATCAAAAAAAAATGTCTTTGTTTCATTGGAGGTATAAGCAGGCTCTCAAAAATATTAACCTTAAAAAGGTTTCAACAATATGTTTATTTCCTATGCCTAGTATTTGTTTTGGATCCTATATCTAGGTTTAAAATAACTAGATTGTTTCTGTCAAGCAAATGTCATATACACATATACATTTGAATTGTCAGTGTGATGGGTTAGTTGTGTGAAAAGGTTATTTCTGTGTAATTTGATGTCTTCAAGAAACAATAAGTTGTTTCTTCTTGTTTGTTTATGAAAGAAAGAGGTCTACACATTTTTTCTAAGGAGCTTTCATTGATACTCCTTGATTTTGTATTCCTTTCTCTACAAGTTTCAAATTTTCATTTAGGTACTAAAGGAAAAGTAGAAAGCCAAGGAAAGCATTAATATTTTCATCTCCGGAGTTGTTTTGTTGTTTTTTTGAACTCACTACATGAATGTATATAATGGAAATAACACTTACATAAATGAGTCCTGAGTAGTACCTGTCTTTGAGATTGTGCAGCACACAAGCCTCATTTAAACAGGTTAGCTCGGCCATGTCCTCAACCTTGTCGAATTTCGGAGGATTCATCTTTTGGATATCATCCTTCGGTACGGTCGTTCTTTTACCGGTCTCTTGAATTTCGACCTCGACTTCATCTCCTCGTTCGCCCTTTATGCTTGCGGCAACGAAGCCCTGTGCTTCGTGGGGCACCCACACCAGTCTCTTCTGCGTCCATTCCGCTTGGGTGGCCGGATCGTTGTAATTATTCCTGTCCACATACAAATATTTCAGTTCTGGATCGAAACGATCTTTCGCATCGGGGTCGGCCATGGTTTACTTAAACAATGTGATGAATAAAAAACGCCACTCACGCACAAAAAAACCGATAGCCGAAAAAAATCACATCGAACGATGCAGTTTCGTAAAAAAAAATGCACTTTGACAGTTTTTCTGTTGTGGGCGAAGCACGGTAGTATACTTCTCAACAGTCTTCACTGTATTCGCTGTCGTTTCTTAGAAGTTCTGTTGTGAAGTGAAGAGAATAAAAGGAATTGTCTTGCAGAGTTACCAATATAAAATGAACAAAATCCCACATATCCATTCAAACTAGCCGATTTCACCCGAGCTCGTCGTATGAAAACCGGTCATGTAGAGATAAACATACATTCAGTTTATATTATATCACAATGTTTCGAGTTTATGTAATTGTTAAGAATAATTGACATACCACAACTGTAGGAAAACGCAAGTTTTGAATTGGGATTAAATATTGAATGACCGCTATAACAAATTTGAATATTCAAATATATGCACCTCCAATCTGTTATTCAGATATTGCCAACATGCCAACTCAACTATTTTCAAATGGCTATACACCTTATTTCGTTTCATTACCCGTCATAATACACAATCTGAAATGAGTTTGGGTATACGTTGAATGAAATAATGTCTGGTCACTTTTTTGGTCCCCCTTAACGTTTCCAATGTTCGAATATTATTATTAGGCAGAATTTAAAAATTACTTCGTATTTGACATGTATACCAGTAAACTCCACGGTAATGCACATCGAAAGGATTGCTCTTTTTCTATTTTCATGTTCAATCCGTTGTTTACCTACACACTTCACTCTGACTCACATACAAGTTCTCGTGCATTTTCTTTGTGTTCATATTAAAACATTAAACGTTTTCTATAGAAACCAAATTCAAAACCTAATTTATACTTTGAGTTTCTGTGGCTTTGATTTCATTATTAAAAAAAAAACTTTCATTCATTATATAAACTCAATTTCATCCCTGGACTGGAACATCTGGAACATCATGGTGACCTTCAAATTGTTTTCAACACCGATAGTGACGTAACGGCTCAATATTAGTCATCAAAAATGAAGAGATCAGCCGACCTTTCAACGTGTATATTAGCTATAAAATGTTATTTTCGAAAAAGAAATACAAGATTTTCTTGGGTTTGGGAGTTTTTTCTCAAATTTTGTAAAGTTATTGACAATTTATATTTCAATCAGACAAAACTTTGCTTGGTTGCATTTTAGTTTAGTCAGTATTTGTAAAAAGTTCATCTATTTCTGTCAATTTAATATTGAACATACCTATATGGATTTTTCCTGTATGCGGAGAAAAATCCTCATAGTAAAATTTATATATTACAATTCCATAATAGTAGGCACTAAATTCTTAGAAATATTATTGCATTGAAATGAAAACATTGTTGTCAAGGTTGTGATTCTATATATATTTATCATCATTTTTCCTCGTCTGTTTAGTACGCCACTGCAAGAGACAGATTAAGGCAAAAACGTCAATCATTACTGAGAATTTTGTGCCTATTTTTTTGGAATTATAGTATAGTGAGGTTAAATCAGAAAATGTCAAGGGTCAAAGTTATTCCAAACCATGTAACAATTATTTTCCCGTTGAACATGCGTAGGACACTTTTTATCTCCAAGAAATATGAATGGATAAAATCCTATTGTCCCATATGTCATTGATTTCTCTGTTTAGGAAATCCAAGTATTTTCTGAATTGTTTTAAATCGATTCATATCTTTTCATAGGCTTTTCAAAAAATATTGGACAGAAATACATTTCACGGATAATTGTCATCAATATCATAAAAACAATATTCTCAAAACTTGAATAGTTACTGAGGTACAATTTGAAAAAAAGCATACGAAAAATTCGTCAAAGACAAGAAATGAGTTATAAAATCTAAGAAATGAAGAATAATTCACCCTTTATGAAAACCAGAAGAAATTTCTCTAATGAATCCGAGTGTTTTGCATGAAGCTCACATTATACCTTTTTGGTGATGAATTGAGTTTAGATTTTAATGTAGTCAGCCTTTTGAAAACATTTATAGTTATGGATTTGTAACTGAAAAGTTAGGCATATTTATTTCGTTTGAATTTATCATGCGAAATGCTTTGAATAAAGAATAGAATTACGTGAGTATATATATCAAGGGTTCAGAAGTTAGACCAGAATTAATATAAAAAATAGACCTACACTGAGTGAAACTTTCGCGGTCAGGTTCTATTGAATGTGTCGTATTTCAAAATTGTCGACTGTCATTTTCAGTGTGTTTCTCAACGTTTCACCGGCATGCAGGTTGGTATCATCAGGAGTACAAAAATATATAGCGGGTTGGTATCTTTAGGAGTAGGTAGAAATATAGTCTTTGGTAGGACGGTAGCCGATTGGATTAGGGCGAGTCCCCACTCACCCAATCGACCGTTGTGTGAAACAGTGGTCGAAGCCGCGAAGCCGGACGATCGGTTTTCACTTCATATCGTCCAACCCGTTCTGAGAATCGAACGTAAAAGGTAAGACCCCGTTAATCTTCAGCTCACAAGTTTCTATATCTGAGAGTTGTCGTTCGTAGGGGGGCGACAACTAGTTTACGAAAAAATGTATTTATCTCCGGAAGATATTAATCAGTCATTTCTGCGAAACGTTGAGAAATTTGAAATATGACAATTACAAAACAGTAAACTTTTTTAACATTTTTTTCGTAATATTGAGCATTTCAAACAAAGAATAATATAATAACAAAATAATAAATTCAAATTCTGGTATATTAGCTGTCACTGATTATTAATTCTGTTTACAATTTCTTGACTTCTCCTTCAACATTTCGAAAAATGACTATTGTATTTTTCATAAATTTTTCAGTGTACGTGAACTTCAAATAACTTACTTTACTAGGATTTGCTTGAAATGAGTTTCATTTTTCACTTTTCTTGCTTGCTGGTTTACTGATTTTTGTTTTCTTTTAGTCTTTTTTTCGAAAATTTCAACAGTTTTTGAAACACTGCCAGATGAAATGTCATCCCCCATACCGAAAAAGCAACATAGTACACAGATATTAAGTCGCTAGGCAACTCTGATCATATTGCTCTAGTGAACATATTAGTTAGTAAGTATTCGGTAAAGAGTTTAGCAAATTGGACGAGTATTTTATGTACGTTTTGAAACTACATCTTTTCACCAGCTGAAAAAATAAGTTTTTGAGAAAGAAAATATATACAAGGGTAAAAGGATAAACAATTAAATTTACCTGGCAAAGTCGCATCTTTGATCAAAATAGTGTTCTCATAATAGGTAAGAATGCAATTATAAATCACTCATAAATAACGTATGAAAAATAATTCTGTTCATCATGTTGACAAAACACAACATTTCAATTTTTCGAGATATTGTTTCTAACTCTTCTGGCTTTGACGGACGTCAACTTATTTTGACAAAGTTTGTAATGACGTTGGAGTCATTTGATATTAATTCTATGAATATACAGGCGTATCGTTAATGGCGATTCAATTTCAGGGCGCAAATCCTTATATTTTTTTTTTTAGAAAACCAAGATGTATAAACTAAACAGATCTTGTAGAATCAGGAGGCGCATCGGAATTTTAATTTCAATATACCTAATTTCTAATTAGGTAAAATCAGTGTTACACAATGATTTTCATCATAAATAAAAAAAATAAAACAAAAATTAATTTCCTTTCTTTCTTTTTCTGTTAGGCATGACTTTGCCAGTTCATTCTAGTCCATGTGAAGGAGATTGTGAAGAAGGTGTGAAATCGAAGCACTAATTTGACTAAATTAATATTATTGGAGTTTGATCCCAACACCAAACCGTTATTTTTAACACCTCGACACGTGTTTCAATCAGTGATCCTCTTCGAGAGGAAAATGAAGATGATCACATGGTGATTGAAACACGTGTCGTTATAAATAATGGTTTGGTGTTGGGATTAAACTCCAGTAAGATTCATTACTACACCAATGGTTCCAAACAGTGCATCACAAGTACTAATTTGACCACTGCTGATACCGTTACGCCGCTGAGTTTTCCAGTGTGTCACCCACAGAACTATGCCTTTAGTTCTGTGGTGACACCTCTGAATGTAACGATCAGACTTCCGTATCGGTCAATGACATGGGACAATAATTACTATAGAAATGGTCAAACTTCTCCAATTAACGAAGAGATCCGAAAACCTTCAAAGTGTATAGCCTACACTTTGACCCTGGTCAAAGGGTCTTCAAAAAATGCAGATACCTTGATCTCATGAAAAAATGAGTGGAACTNAAGAGAAGAGCACGTATAGGTCATATTGATTTATGTATACTGTGAAATTTTCAGGTTGATCCGTTAAATAGTTTGTCAGAAACGGCTAATTAACGCTCATCATGAAAAGCCCTGTATTGGATTGTATTTCTTGTGGTGTTTTGTTTCAGGAAAAAACGCTTTCCAACTGTATTTTCATTTGAAAAGACCACTTTTATTTGTTCGGTACTGAGTAGCATTCCAATAAGTCTATCAGATACATTTCCTACAAATGGAATTTTGTGATGTTTGAGTTTCAGAAAAATTATTGGATCACTAAACTAGTAAACTAAATTTTTTTAATAATAGAGGTTCTAAGTGGGATCCTTGGGGAATCTCTGAGGGAACATTCACTTCCTTGGACTTATATCCGTACACCTCAACAATCTGTTGCAGTTGAATAATTTACTTTCAAGTCAAAAATTGAAAGGGCCGCTTTCAGAAAATGGATGCTTTTATTAAAGCTTTGAGGAAATCCATATATATGGAGTCCATACATATGGACTATGTACTTTATTCAACAATGTACACTGCATATTTCAACCTTCTACCTTGAATTTTTCTTTTTGGATAAGCGAATGGTTGACGTTGAAATAATATTAACATACTGAGCAAATCGCAGAGATACGTATTTCACAACTACAAATAAAGAGCAAGTGATTTTTCTGTATATGGAAATGTATTTGCAATCCATTATCGCTTTGAAAGAACTTAATGATTTCGATAATCTAATGATTGACAAGCCTATTATATAAACATGAATACGTTCAACTGGTCTCAATTCGATATATTATTATATAGGCCCAGTCAAATTGGATTATTTGCTAATCTGTAGGTGTTTTACGTGACCAGTTCATTAAAAACTGATGTTCCATATAGGTATTTAACGAATAAAATCTTAACATCTGTTATTATAACACAAGAAGAGAGTTGATGTCGGCTTTTTCCTTATTTGGTACTTTCAATTCAAATTGTTTGCCAATCGCTTGAATAATTGCAGCAATGTTTTTTTGCTAGTTACCTTCTGCACTATGAATCACCACATATCATCATCGTGCGTTCTACTTTGTCAAAGTATCGTATTCGAAAAAAAAATAAACAAAATTCTAACTTGTATTTTATGAGTATACCTAGTTTGTTTCACGTGGAATATTACAAATAACATTTTTTTAAGTAAATTTTTGGAAATAAAGGTTATGGCTTATTAACTATTAATTACTTCCTTCTTTTCTTTGGAAAATTCCAACATTTTTTTAGGAAGATGGAGCAATCTCTCCTAATTTCAATTCAACAACAGCTTTATTTTTCAACTAATAAGGAGAAGTATTTATCATCAAAAGGTAAATTTAAAAAATATCCAATTTGTATTCATCCCAATTCATGAATACTTCTATTATTTTGTAAATCATTTATCCAATGGCTATTTCATGTGGGATTTTGTTCATATTTTTGTAATGTGAGTAAATATTTCTACTTCATAACGATGTATTTTTGAATTGTTACTAGAAGCAGTTAGAAGAAAAAGCCCATATATGAAATACAGGCTGATTCACGGTGGATGGCACAGTGGGCGTTTCTGGTGAACCAGAAAACAGATCAATTTTAAAATTCATTGGAGAGCATATCCCGACATTCTCTGCCCAACTGAAATATTTTTGAAAATGCAGTGTTGCCACTTCCATCAGAAAGTACAGCAAAGTACTAGCAACTATTTTTCAAATAGAACACACTGTATATAATATTATTTTTGGACTCTACACTAATTACCCGACAACTTTTCTTGATATTTCCCTGTTACCGTTTTCGAAATATAAATAAATTTCAATTTTTTTCTTCAGAAATCGTTACTTCTAAAAATGCTGATATCTTTGAGTTAAAGAATACTATTGTACGGAAATTTGGTTTGGAGTTAGGTGATATTTTGAGGCATCCACACTCCAGCTTAATCTCTGTTAATTCAATACAGGGTGGTAAAAAAATACAGTTTTTTCGATTGCTTGAAAAAGTGACTGAAATTTGATTATTTCACACCCTGTGAATTATTACAAATTCAGAAAGCTGTTGAAACTTGCTTTCTTCCTGTGAATTTCATGCCTATTCCTAACTAGTCAAGTTTCGGATTCATGAGCATTTATTTGTTAACCTTCAAAATGGTATTTCCATTCGTTATTTCGGTATTTGACAGTAACATTATGACATTTTCCTGATAATATTGACATGTTCGTCACTTCAGAAATTTAAAATACCTTCAAACGATGGAACAAAACTATTCAAACAAAGTTCTTATGAATTTGTTCATTATTTTTGGACAGTGATAAAATGATCAGAAGAAAATGTAGAAAGTACAACGAAAGGTATCCGAATCTACTACTAATGAACCTCAAGAAATGTATGCGAGTTAAGAACAATTTCAATATAATTGGGTAAATGAAAAAGTGGAAATATTGATCTGAAAAGTTATGAAAAAGTAAAACAATCGTGTGGAATATTTCAAAATATGTTTGAATCGCTGGCCATTCACTTTCAAGCACTTCAAAATGCGGATGTTGACTGCTTTCGACGTGGTAGATCTGATTTCAATGGGATCCAAATCTTCAAATGTTTGGGAAATCCTTTCTAACAATTCGTCTCTCGAACGCACGGGTGTTTTGTAAACTTTTTCTTCGAACATTCCCCACAGATAATAATCTAATGGATTGAGATGGGGTGATCTCGCTGGCCATTTCCATGGTTCCAATAGCCTTATCCACCGATCGCCTCATCCAGTTCTGCGCTCACTTCTCGTGTACAATGTGCAGGAACTCCGTCTAGTTGGTACCAACATTTTCGATATTCTTCGAGTGGCAGATTATCGACGAAGCTCTCTACAGTATTCTTCAGGTAACTTCTGGATGTTAATGATTCCTCATATATCGCGTACCTCAATGTGTTGTCCATTAACATGCAGAAGACTCCTTTTTTGACGTTTTGACGTGAGGATTTTCACTGAACCAATAATGCCAATGTTTTTATTGAAAATTCCTTCTCTCAAAAATTTCAATTCATGAGTCCAAATGATTTTATTAAAAAAGAAACGTATCTTCTTAAATGCGTATCAACAAAATTTCATGAAATTCAACTTCTTTTGAGGGTCTTGAGGCTTTATTGCTTGGATTTTGGTAATTCATAATCATGCAATTTATGTCTTCGCAAAATTCTCTGAACAGATTTATATTCTATACCCAAACTTTTTTCAGCAACACATTAATCTGGTTGTCTTCACAAGTTACGGGTCGAGACAAGTTTCTTGATGCGTTTGAAGTTGATCCAAATGCATTGAAATTGTTCCATATTGTCTCTAATCCTCTTTTTATTGTATATAAATTACTTATTGGAAAAAACAGAAAATCCAATATATTGCTTTGCTGACGACAGCACACCTGTCTCGTAATTCCATTTGGATTCCAGGACATCGGCTACGGAGGCACATCTTCGCCGGCAGCAAGAGGTTGCATATCTGAATGAGGATCTAGAAGTGATTTCGAATTGGGCTTCGGTTTTCTCCAAGAAGATAAATATCTCCGAACCGGATATAATAATGTCAGGTCAGACAATTCCGCTTTCTGCTTCGATAAGTTTGTTGGCAGTTACAATGGACACCAATATGTCTTGGCACAATCAGCAGACCTTTGGAGTATTGTTCTCATGTATGGAGCTCCACCTCTAAACATACACTGAAGCTACTGGATTCCATCCAGAAAAGAACAATCCGCCTGATTGGAGACACGAACATCACTTGCAACCTTGATAGTCTGGAACATTGAAGAAAGATAGATACTATCACGGAAGGTGTTCAAGCGACTTGGCACATTTGATTCCACCAAAAGCTGTACATATTAGAAATACGCGACGGACTGTGACTGCTCATCGTGTTGAAGTTCAACTCAGTACACCTCGAACTTCAATATTTGAAAACCATTTCATTTGGAGAACTGCGTTTAAGTGGAATGATTTTTCTCAGAATGTTTTTCCAAATGGATTCAATCTCCAGCGATTCAAATCCAATGTGAGTCATTACTTTCGCACAGGCACCGCTCTGAGAGCGCCTTAAGTATTTTCCTGTATTGCTTGTGTTTCGTCCTTAGAAAAAAAATCAACTTTCAATCACTTTTTCAAGCAAACGAAAAAACTTTTTTTAACACCCTGTATTGAAGTAACGGAGATTACGCTAAAGTATGGAAAGCCTTCAAGTATCACTTAAATACAAACCAAATTTTGGTATTATAGTATTCCTTAACTCAAAGATATCAGCATTTTTAAAAGTCATGATTTCTGAAGAAAAAAATTGAAATTAATTTATATTTCGAAAACGGTAACAGGGAAATATCAAGAAAAGTTGTCGGGTAA